CAGCTCTACTAACCTCATCCCTTTTTCTCGTTTTTCAATTTAAATTTTGATTATGGGAATAACTGTTAGTCAAGAACTGAGAAAGTGGCGCCCCGTACCTGCGCCGTAGTCAGACCTGGCTGGGCTGTCCTTTCCCTCTGGCCGATGTCCCTTCCCTCCAGTGTGAATGAGCCACTTGTCCAGGCAGCCAGGACGTGCCTAGGCCAAAGAGATGGACTCCTCTGGGCCTTGGTTTTGTTATTTTACTTTTTCTCTTTGGTGCTAAGGGTTGAAGCCAGGACTTCACACATGGTTAGGTTTTGTCATTCTAAAGTTGTAACTCTTGGGGCTGGGGATTTAGCTCAGCGGCACAGCGCCTGCTTGGCAAGCGTGAGGTCGTGAGTTCGATTCCCGATACCGGAAAAAAAAAACAAAAACAAAAAAAGAGTGAAGCTGTAGCTCTTTAGCTGGTCCTGCAAGGCAGATGGTCTTGTTTCACTGATAAACATTTAATTGATAACTTCTAGGTGGCTCACTGTGCCGCTGGTCATTGGAGCGATTCGTGTTGCTGTTGCGTATGGGCCCTTGGCCCCCGGCAGGCCCAGTCGGCACAGTGTGACATGAGCATCTCCAGTCTCCTTTGTGCACGTGGACATTTGCATTTGTCAGTTTTTAAAAGTAAGGCTGGTGTGGTGGCACACGCCTATAATCCCAGCACTTGGGAGGCTGAGGCAGGAGGATTGCCATGAGTTTGAGGCCAGCCTGGGCTACATAGTGACCCTGTCTCAAAAATGTTTTTAAAAAAGTAAATAAAAGAGAGCCCCTTCTCCATCTTGCTTTTCCCTTAGGTAGGAAGGGGCCATCTTTCCCTCCTGGTGAGTGTGGGTCTCCCTGTCTCCCTCCCCTTCCTTCTAGCAGCTGCCTGCTCCGTGCCCTTGGACAGTTCTCTGTAGCACATTTGATTTGTTCCCGTTTTTGCCCCGCTGTTACTGCTGCACTGTGGCCCCTCTCACACACGTGGGTGCTCTAGGTCCCGGTGTAGCCGCCCAGTTCCTTTGTCAGTTTGAGGTCGAGACTCTGGTCTCCTTCCTCACCGCTCTGCTCCTCACTGTCCCTGCTCCGGCCACAGTGGCCTCCTTGGGCTTCTGCACAGGTCAGGCGCGTTCCTGCGTGGTGCCTTTGTACTCGCTGCTCCCTGCACCTGGACTGCTCTTCTCCAGGTACCTTGTGTGGCTCCCTGTCAGCCCCTTCAGCTCTTTGCTCCAGTATCACCTCCTTCAGACCTTCCTTGGTCATCCTTCCTGCACGCCTCCCCTGCCTGCACACTGTGCCTCCTTCCTCAGTTCGTTTTTCCCACAGCACCTCTCGCCTCCAGGCTCACCTTGCTTGCTTCTGTCTGCTACCGACTGCCAGCCCCTCAGCCTCTCCAAGACAGGACTTTCTCTTTCCTCTGTGTACTGCTTAGTTTGTAGGGCCTTCACTAGTGCCTGACATGCAGTGGGTTCTTAGTAAAAGAGTTTGAATGAATGAAGGCCCTGAGATTTCCTCAAACCTGACCTGGCCTCTTGCCCACTGGGGCTCACAGCTCTCTGCTTGGCACTTGCCATCCTTAATCTTCGTTGTTGTTGTTGTTACTTTTGTTTTTTGAGACAGAGTCTCGCTTTTTATGTCAGGCTGGCCTCAAACTCAAACTCAGGGCGATCCTCCTGCCTCATCCTCCCTCTCTTGCTTTTATTTATGAGCACCCCTCACCCTACCTCGTTGCCCCATCCTGTGCTTGGGGCCCCTTCTACTCATCTGAGGGTGCCCACTGAGGGGCCCTGGGTCTGATGAGGGAGCCCTGCGGTCCTGGAGGTGGCTGTGGCTGCCAGTCTGTGACACGGACCCTGGACACAGAAGGACCTGGGGCTAATACAGCTCTGCTGCCCATAGCTCTGGTACTTGGGTGAGCTGTGCAGCATTTCTGAGCCTCACTTTCCTTACCCAAAAAGAGGGCCAGGGCCAGGCGTGGGGGCATACCCCTGTAATCCCAGCACTTGGGAGGCCAAGGTAGGGGGATTGTTGCAATTTGCGTTTGAGGCCAGCCTGGGCGACAAAGTGAGTTCAAGACCAGCCTGAACTGCATAGTGAGACCCTGTCTCAAAAAGACCAAAAAAAGAAAGAAAAGGGCAGGGGCCAGGAAAACAGCCACCTGCCAGTGTTGTAGAGTCGGGGCATGGTGGGACACTGTGTGGTGTTGACTTCACCCTCACTGTGATCCCCTGGGATGGGCCGGGCCAGGCTGCAAGCCTTTTCCTGTGGGAGTGGTGACATCTGATAGGTGATTGTGTAGACCGCTGTTTAAACAGGAGGGAGGCCCCGTGCAGATCCCGTGGTCCTGAGTCCTGCCCCACTCACCTTCCTGAGGAGGAGGAACACGCCTGTCACCTGAGTCTGGGAGAGCTCCACGTGGCTTTCTCTACCCCGGCCTGGCAGGATCACAGGAACCACAGATGGGCCTCAGGCTTCCTGGCAGGGCGTTCCCATGGCAGGCTCTCAAAAGGGAAGGGAGAGAGCCTGTGACTGAGTTTGCTACCAGCTTTCGTTCCCAGGCACTAGCCCTCATTCCTCAGATGGGTGTCTAGGCACGCCCCAACCACTGTAGCCTCCACTCCCTGTCCCCAGCGGCTACTGGACCCCAGGCCAGGTGGAGGAGAGGTGTAATGCACTGCTCCCCAGCCTCCACCTTGCAGGCTTGGCCTCTGCCTGCTGAGAGGTCTCTGTTCTCTGACCTTCCACCTGCCTGCTGCATGTCTGCGCTCTGCCCCTGCCTAAGCCACAG